ACGACAGCTCGCCTAGCCTTGCACTTGTCTTTTGTGGATGAGAACAATGATGCCTGGTGCAGTTAAGTCATGTGTCCTGCCAAGTCTTGGTAACTGCCTCTGTGGGTACTGGGTGAGCTCCATGTAATCCCTCTGCTCCTGCCACAGTGAAAATTCCAGGCTGGGGTGGGACGCTCCCACACTGCAGTGTGCAGTGCCTCCCCCCGTCCCACCTTAGGGGAGCCTCTCCATTGTTTATAGCTGTCCAGGTCTGGCATTGTGGGAGGCTGCCCTGCCTGCTGCGAGGGAGGGTTCCCACAAAGCTGGACAGAATAGTGTTGCTGCCCCCCCCCCGCCCCCTTGCCACCCACACACCATTGGTCCCCATTATGTGAATCGGAGCCTGGCAATCTAGTGATCCCCAAGCTGGGAGGAGGAGGAATGGAGAGAAGAAAATGTCCCGGCATCTCAAGAGGGTGGAGCTTCCCCAAGGGCAGTGGGGACAACACCCAGTACCTGCGTGTGTGGGACATACCCTGAGGGTGATCTTCCAGTGGAGAGAGAGAACTCATGCTAGGAGTCCCCAGACACCTGCTTCAAGCTCGCATCGATGCTGTCAGGGGCCGAAGAGCCCCTCATATGTCTCAGGGACCCTAAGACACACATCTGTTCCCTGAAAGGCCACAAAGTGTAAAATTGGTGAACTCATTAAAATTCATCTCTGAGAGTCTCAAGAATTTTCCAGGCAGGGAGGCAACCTAACCTCCTTGCCCAGAACCTGTAAGGTAGCTTGGGCCATCGATCTGTCTGTCTGGATTTACCTGTCCACAGCTTTCCCATCACAGCCCCTGGTGAGCAATCACAGCCCCAGCAGCTCCAAGTCATTTTCCCACAGTGGTGCCTTCCTCAAGGCCAAGGACAGGCCCTGACTAGAGATTCCAGAGCTCAGGCTGGGTCCCCACTCTTTTACTCTTCAGAACATAGCCTCTCAGCTCTGAGGCTTCCAAGCCCTTCCCACCCCACTCCTACCTCCAGCCCCACCCAGGGGTGCCCCCCATAGCTCTTCATGACCCAAGTGCTGCCTGAGAGTCCTGCTTCTGTTTGGTGGAGGCAAAGAGGTGGCTCCATTCAGGTCTGTAGCCGAAAAGAGGAGGTGTGGTTTAGGGCAGACATTTGCCAAAGCCTAACAGACCCCTCTCCTCCACCTGGTGCCACCGCCCACCCAAACAAGCTTTACAGAAGATCTTACAAGGGGCCTCCCTCAAACAACTGGGCAGGTGGTTATGCCAGCTCCCTGTACCCCTATCCTGCTCTGTCTAGTCACACTGGCAGGACAATCCGAAGACTGAGAATTCGATTTTCCATTGCCCTGGCCCTGAAGAAGACTTTGGGCCCGGGCCCAGAGAAAGCGCAGCAGTTCCCGCTGTTTGAGCGGGTGGTTCTCCGTTATAACAGGCCGGCGGATTCTCAACACGTTCCTGATGAGATTAGAAGCTCCTGCAGGTATGTGTTTGTGGCGGCCCTCAGCCTGTATCAACAGATACTCGATGACTCACTTCTTGCCTAGTGGCATAACCCAGGGCTTGCTGGAACACACCTGGGGGGCTGGGAGCAGGCAGAGCAGCTCCCCCTGAAGAGGGACGTGACTGCCAGGATGAGTCTCAGGACTTCTGTGAGAGATGGCAGGGACCCCTGGGTTCGCTCACCCTGCAGGGTCCTGCCTAGGCCCAAGTGCCAGGGAAAAGGTCAAACGCCACAGAAAATGATGAATTAGGAGGAGCTGTGGAGAGATGTCTGCCCCTGCAGAGAGCAGAGTGGTACAAACCAGGGACTGAGCGTGGGGCTCAGAGAGCCTTTCTGGCCCGAACCTTGCAGGAGAATCTTACCTTGGGCTCAGGGATGACTGTGCCTCCCCCAAGAAAGGAAGTTCTGCAGTAAAGACTAGCTCTATTTTCCTCCAGCTCATAGCTGAGATATCAGGCCATAGGTGCCTGCCAAGTGCTGAAAATCCTTGCAGCAATCTCCTGTCTGGAAGAGTGAGAAGGGCAGATGACTGCAAGTGGGGACGCACTTTGTCCGTCACTCACGGGCAGTGCATACTGTGCTGGGTGGTTTACAACGCCCCTGGTCCTGTAAGAATCCCTCGGGACATTGGCCAAGTGCCCCCTTGCTTCCTGGCATCCATCTTGGGCTGTTCCCAGCCCTGGGCCCCCAGGGGGAAGTGCGACTTGCTGCCAAGGCATCAGTGCTGCAAGGCAGGGTTATTCCTAACTGAGTGGAGCCTGCCAGGAAGACAGCGTTTGCACCCGCACCATGTGCAGGTGTGACGGTGAGCTCACAGCTGCCCCCCCAGGCGTGCCCAGCGCACTTAATCATTTCACAGCTCAACAACTGTCCCGCCCAGCCCTGTTCTAGTATAAAAGGGGGAGTGCAGGTCTGGGTAACAGAGCCACCTCTGCATCCTGCTGAGCTCTATTCTCTCTAGCACATCCCAACCTCTAGTGCTTTATCCTCTTGCTCCTCCAGGAACAAGCCATCATGTCTCGCCAGTCAAGTGTGTCCATACGGAGTGGGGGAGGCCGCAGCTTCAGTGCCGCCTCTGCCATCACCCCGTCTGTCTCTCGCACCAGTTTCACCTCTGTGTCTCGATCCGGGGGTGGTGGTGGCGGTGGCTTTGGCAGGGTCAGCATCCGGGGTGCTGGTGGAGCAGGAGGCTATGGCAGCCGGAGCCTGTACAATCTGGGGGGCTCCAAGAGGATCCCCATGAGCTTTGGTAGCTTTAC